ACTGATTTTTTTCCACAAATATATGACTTGACCTGAAGAAGGACAGACGCAGGTAATCTTGCATGCTCAGCAAGAGTGTAAATTTCACCCAACAGTAGGGGGGAACAATAAACATAAAATTTCTCAAGAGCAATTTTCGAAGGGGACACAAATAATACAGCCAAAATGGTAATTGTAAGGATAGATAAGTGTACACAGCATGTACATAGCATGGAGACCGAGTTTAAATATGAGTTAGGTTCATAGGCTCACCACGCGGTCATATTACAATTATTAAATTATCTTGAGTCCTCCACAAAATATTTTAGGTTTCGTCTGGAATTGAGGACGTCTCTTATTTAGATATTCAACTACAGCAAGCCCACATCTGCGGCTGCCAAACTGCATCTAAACATCATATAGGTTGTTTGCAATCATGTGATTCTGATGACATGCGAAATTCAGATGGAGGGCAGGAACTGAAAAACAGAATGGATGAGATGGAGGAAAGTCCATACTGTACTGGTTTAGACACGATTACAAGAGAAAGGTATAAACAGAAAGTCACAACATATGTTGGACGTGATCCTAATGTTATGAAGAGGAGCGATTTTTTTTTTTACTAAATTGAAATACTTGCCTGCCATCGAGAGAAAAAGAGAGAGATATTCTGAGCATCAGGGGCGTAAATCCCCCCCACAATTTACACCCCTGATGCTCAGTCAATCTCTCTCTCCTTTGCTCTGTCTGTTTACAAATCTACGGAACCTATTAACAAATCACAATGGTAAACATTGGTACACATATGGCACCTTTCCACTGCATGGTACGGCTCGGCTCAATTTGCATTTCCACTGCAGTTTAGTACTGCTTTAGAGTGGGTGGAATGTCGTTATAATTGTGCCGCCTCTACTGCCGTAACCTCCTAAAAAAGTTTTTCATTCCGCGTCATCCCATCAAGCTCTCTCTGGATCCGCTCCTTGGCAATCAACGAGAGGAACGTCTGTACTTCCTCAACAGACCGTGAAACAGACATTATTTTGATGTTTTAAAAACGTGCGCTCGTTCAAAACTGTTGCGTTCAAAGGATTTTGTTCGGATTTTGCGTTCGGATTTCGAAGGGTACAACTGATGGGACACTTCGGGCTCCCATGATCCTTTGCGCAGATTCTTTGCATGATGACGGCGCCTCCGTGTGGGCACGTGATGATGACGCATGAAGGGCACTTCAAGAAACAGTTGTTTGGTCTCCTACACCCTTCAACCCTTCGATGCTCTCACTCTGGAGGGTAAACCCTTTGAAGGGATTAGGGCATAGGGATGAGCCCTTCCGAATGGAACGCAGGGTTAATAGCGGGTCTGTGTCTCGTGTCGCAAGTTCAGTGGCGCAGGTAGTGGCGATTCTCTCCGGCAAATCAGTGATCAGCAGGGTTTACATGTCACATTTTGGTAACAGTACGGCTCGCTTGGAACCTCAGCCGAGGTGGTACTGAAAAAAGTACCAGGTACTATACACAGTGGAAAACCCCCCAAAAGCGAGCCGTGCCGTACCATGAAGTGGAAAAGCGCCTATAGTCTTAATGACGTAAAAAGAGCCTGTTGGTGTAAAACTATTACTCTTCACTCTTATGATGATTAACTTTTTGAACATTCAATACAAATGCATTGTGTAAATCAAGAAGGGCATAGCCTCGTAAAAAAAAAAAAAGTGAACATCGCGGTTGTGGTGGTTGCTTGTTATACTCTGCGATTAGTCTCGCATAGCCAGACCTTCAGACTGATGGCAGAAGGTCTTGGTACCATGGCCGTTTCTCAATACCAAGTATGCAAAGTTTGGACTTGGAAATCAAGACCACTAATTGGCTACTAGTGATCAAGTTTAGCCCAGTGCAACTTTATGCAAATGAGAAGCAACACCAGGGTTTAAAATAAGGATATTTGCCCAGTCAGACCAGTAGTTTAGATTTATACTCTCTCACATTGACCCAGGATTAACAAGCCATCCTTTGCTCTGGATGCATTTAACATGCTTAGGTGGCCTCAGTGGCATGAGCTTAGAAGGAAATTTGTATCAGAAGTTGAGCTATTTTGATGAAAAATTATGATATTACATTTTTCTTTCTAAACATGTACTGATGAATCTTGCACAATAACTCCAGAAACGTGTATTAAGAAAGCAAATAATATTATGATTTCATGCTGGCTAAAACTGTGGCCTAATTGTCCATATACTTTGTTGGCCTCCTGTGCAGTACCAGTCTTTCCATAGCATCAAAACACAGATGTCATAACTAGACTGTGTTAGCTGCCTGTTTCTTTGGTTGCCGTGTGTAGATGACTGACTGTCTTCAAAACACTCACAGGCTTCGTGCAGACCTTCAATCTCTGGACAAGCTGCCGCACGCCTGCTTGCATTTCTGTCATACTGCACTCCTCTCCTGCTTTAAAGTTGGCATCATGAAATGTAAATTCACCATATCTATTTTCAAAATGCATGTTATTGATCTTATTGTGAACCATTAATATGTGCATGTATCAGTATTTGTTTTACATTTGACATCAAAATATCAAAACTTGATCTTCTGGTAAAACAACAGTCTTCTCTCTGATGACATATGCTGGACTTATCCAATCATTTTATCTGCTTGGACCCCAGCAATTCTTTTTAAACCAACTGCAAGCTAATATTCAGCAATTCTGCCTCTATCCAGTGAACAACTGAATGATAGAGCCAACCAAGTCCCTGCCTACATTTTTTTTTTTTTTTTATAATCTGATTTATGCCACAATATGGAAGAAAAGAGCTGTCACAGCTGTCTGTTTCATTATGACTTTCATGTACATAAAACACATTCATTAGAAATGCCACAGTGGAATCCCACTTCCACTTTTGACCGTTAGTTCAGTAGACTTCTGTTGGAAATGCACACTTAAGCCACGAGGTATGAGACCGCAGCAAATCTCCTCTCAGACACTTTAATTAGTGTGTAAATCTTCACAAAAGTGCTGAGGGCAGGGGAAGGAAAAACGAGGGCTCAAAAGTCCCGGAAATTTGTTCATATCTACATCCTAAAAAACATTTAGAAGAATCAAAGCCTATATAAACACTTCCTGTTTTGGATATACCTAACATTTTCCCACAATGTACCTTTTATACATTGTTTCTTTGCTTCTGACATTGTCAGTGGGGCCTATACGTATGATTGTCGCCCAAGGAGAAAATAATTTAAAGGCTATGCCTGTAAGACATATTTGTTGTTGATAATGGCTCTTATGCTGATATATAAAACAAATCACACATGTGTGAACTTGCACGTTATTGATATACACTGCCATTCAAAAGTCTGGGGTCAGTAAGATTTTTAATGTTTTTTTAAATAAGTTCCCCATGCTCGTCATGGCTGTATTTATTTGATCAAACATACAGAAACTAAATAAAAACGTAATATTGTGAAATATTATTATAATTTAAAATAACAGTTTTCTATTTTAATATACTTTAAAATATAATTTATTACTGTGATGCAAAGCTGAATTTTCATCATCCATGAATCCAGTCTTTATTGTCACAATAATTTTTTTTATCAATGTTGGAAACAGTTGTGCTGCCTAATATGTTTTTGGAACAGCATTAATTCATACTAGAAATCTTTTCTAACCATATAAGTAAAATAACCATTTATTAGCAATTTAACACGTCCTTGCTGAAAAAAAAAAAATACTGAAAGAAAAAAAATTACTGACCCCAAACATTTGAATGGTAGTGTATGTTGTTAACATGACTAGGGTCCTGAAAGGGATTTTTAAATTGCCTAAAATTTCTGGGTTTTGGCATTGTTTTCCTATTGACTCTCTACATTCTTCATACATTATATGTACGTGTATTTGCATTGATTTACCTGTTCTCTGTAGATCCCAACTTCTTGCACACCACAATTGGTTGATTATGTACAATGCCTGTATGCTATTGGTCCAAACTATTTCTACTATATATCCTAATAATAGGAAAACAAAGCCAAACAAAGTCTGTGCGTTTTACTCAATTTAGAAATCCAGACATATCTAAATTTAGAAATCCAGGACATGTCCGGGAAAAAGAGGATGTATAGTCACCCTAAACATGACAATAGTATTACAAATAACATTAAAGTTAACATTAAATTTGATTTATAATTGTGTTTTATTTTTAATTTGTATTTCCTCGCCCACTTTGCAGCTCTGCAGAGGTGTTAGACTGTCCGTTTACTCTCGACTGGCCTGTCATTCATTCAGCTAATGTGACTGTTGCCATATTTTGTTTATTGAGCAACACAGCGTGTGTGTGGTTTGAACTGTCTGTCTGTGTTTCTCAGGAGGCATGTGTTCAGAATATGCTGTCTTGGCATTTCCAAGACCATTTAAAAGTGTAAAACAGGAAATAAAAGCGCTGCTAAAGCCCCAGCTCTGCTGTCAGGATGCTATAACGGATCTGACAGCCAATAAAACCGGCCTATTACGTCTGACTATTTCTAACTAACAAAGTGGCCTGGCCTTTACTGCAGAGATGGGCATACTTCCTGTTTTACATTGCTGCTGATGTCAGCCACTCAGCTGCAAAGATGCACATGATTATCGTGACAACAGCAATGTTTAATGAGGCTTTGCTTTTAGTCTGCAGCCTGATATGGTTCATTTATAATGTTAAACCGTGCTCTAGATTACCTTTTTTAAATTATATTAGCTGGACAACATTGCAAAATGAAAGTGAAGAAATGAGGATAGAAATATATTATTGTATAATAGTATTGAAGTCATTATATTTCAATAGGAGATGATTGTATTTAACAATGGATTCAAATTTAAATATTTAAATAATAAATACAAAAATTAATTTTCTAATATGCAAATATATTGAAATGATTAAAATTCTAACAAAATATTCAAATACATTCTTACACTTATCCTTTCAATTTTATTTTTAGGACTTACATGTTTCTCTCTCTCTGTGTGTGTGTGTGTGTGTGTGTGTGCATACTTTGTAGAAGCACGATCAAGGACAGATCCTACTGGACGCTGTCTTCAAGCACCTGGAGCTGACCGAGAGAGACTATTTTGGGTTGCACCTGGCTGACGACTCCTCTGATAGCCCGGTGAGTTCAAAGGTCAAGCTCAAAGATGTGCCGGAGCCGAGCCGGTCTGCCCTCAGGGATTCATGAAGGTTTTGTTTGGAACATTTGAGGCTTGAGTGTGTGAATGGCCAGTATTCCTGAAGTAGGTTCACATTCAGTAATGTAGGACACACAGAGGTTCAGGTCTAAACATTCTGTGAAACATCCCTCCCTTTTGGGTGGCCCAACTCAATATTCAATTTTAGCAGAATATTAGACTAATGATAAGACTGGATTCTTCATCTCATGTGAGTTTGAGTTTAAGGGAAGAAAGTGTTTTAATGAGTAAATCACAAAACATTGGTGTATATTCTCCTAAAATCTTACAGTGGATGTTTTATCGATATATTATGTACTTAAAAAATACATAATTCAGATGAAAGCAAACACATTAGATGTCTGTATGTATACTATCAGCATTCAAGTTACACCTTCGTCGGCCTACCAGTAGGCATCTACCAATCGCTCGATCTGTGGCTGAAAAGACTTTGTAGTTATATCGATTCAGTTGAAACTGGATCAAAGTTAAAGAGTTTTTCACTTGACAAACACACTCATTTTGTCTCGGTTTGTGTTGTAACTGCAGATAAGTACATCTCCACCTCCCCACAGCAGAAAACTCAAGCCTATTGAATTATTGAGTGACTTTAGGCTGTGTTGGACTGTTGCCATGTTATTAAGGTTTTTCTTCCCCTCTCTCTATCTCTGTCTCTCTTTTTCTTTCTCTCAATCAATAATTTATAGAGGTGGCTGGATCCAAATAAACCCATAAGAAAGCAATTAAAAAGTAAGTAATTTTATAAAAGGCACCAGACTAGGCTGTTGTTTACCACCAGCCATTGATTATTCTTTCTCCTCCTTTTTATTTGTACATCTTTGTACTTACACACATGTTCTGGTGAATTAAATGCTAGGGGGCTCTCCACATCATCTGAACTTCCGGGTGAAATTTTTTGTGAGTGAACCCAACAAACTTCAGGAAGAATACACACGGTGAGTCATCTGTATTTTGGTTATATTTTAAATGTTTAATTTTTTACATTTTGCCAACTTTTAAGTGTACGCTATAGAATTTAAAGATCTTCCAGGCTAATAGACAAAAACTAAAAACAAATTTGATGTCATGGAGTCTTTCTTTTATATTTCTTTTACATATATTTATTTAGCAGACTTGAATCTCTGATGTTGTAATCCTCATTTCTAAGAGGCTGTAAAAGAAGTGCTGTAATACAGAGATCCAAAATAGTGCAGAGAAGTATAGGCTTAGAGCAGAAATATGAGTAAAGCAGTACATGAGTAAAACTACAGTTATTGACATCCTCACCCGAATTGGAGATGGTGATTCATAGTCAAGTGATTGTTGCATTATCTCTGTATTGTTCTTGTAGCTCAAACAGTAGAGAATGGCACTAGCAAGGACACGGTCATCAAGGGTTCAGTACCCAGGGAATGCATGAACAAATAAAACGAATGCTGTATAAGCCACTTTGAAAGAAAGCAACTGTCAAATGCATACAGTAAATGCCAATGCCATGGAGGAAAACGAGACAAAAATATTGGTGACAAAACAGTAGAAGTAGTTCAAACAGAAGAGCATGGTCATGGGTTTGATTCCCCATTAAAGCAAGAACTGATAAAATATGTACCTTGAATGCAACATAAGTCATTTTGGATAAAAAAAAAACATTTGCCAAATGCATAAATGTAAAGTGTAAATGTGTAAATCTTAATGTTATAATCAAATTAGACAAATTTGAACACCTCGTAGCCATGTCTTGGCTTGGCTTTGCTTGGTTAGATAATAATGCAGTTCTATTTAATGTTAGTTAAACTCCCTGTACTCTGTTTTATGTAGGAAGTTTGATTTAATATTTATTATATTTTTAATATTTAAAAATGTACCTCATGAACAATACATTTTAGTTATTTTTAGTGTTTTTTTTTTTTTATCCGTGTAGGTACCAGTATTTTCTACAGATTAAGCAGGACATACTCAGTGGAAGGTGAGCTGGATCATGATCATGTGTGGCTGTTTTTAACTGTAAATCTCTTCCTAAATCCAGTTTAATAGTTTGTGTGTGTGATTCGGTTAAATTATATTTAATATTTATTATATTTTTAATATTTAAAAATGTACCTCATGAACAATACATTTTAGTTATTTTTAGTGTTTTTTTTTTTTTATCCGTGTAGGTACCAGTATTTTCTACAGATTAAGCAGGACATACTCAGTGGAAGGTGAGCTGGATCATGATCATGTGTGGCTGTTTTTAACTGTAAATCTCTTCCTAAATCCAGTTTAATAGTTTGTGTGTTTGATTCGGTTAAATTATATCTGTAACTAGTACTATGTAGATTTGTCCCTTCTATATTCATCTTGTGATACCACTGCAGTTTGTGCTTCTGAAGTTACATTTTCTTTAATGTTTACTTAAATACAGTAATTTGGTTTGATCTCCATCATTTCACACTGTTAATTCAATATCATTTATATCCTTCCCAGACTGCCTTGTCCGCACAATACTGCCGCACTCCTGGCATCATACTCTGTTCAGTGTAAGTATGAGTCATGGATCTACATGACAAAGAAGCCACAATCTAAATCCATTTTTTTTTTAAGTAGAACAGTATGTGGCAGTCAATTGCATGTGGTTTGCTTTAATTCTGGTTTGGTCTCACTATCTTTAATGTTACAATTTTAAATCCTTTTTAATGTTACGTTTGGTGTCGGAACAAGAGGCGCCTGTAATTCTCTATTTCTTGAGTGAGAGGAATTGATAGCAATTTAGCATAGCAGCATAATTATAATTAAAATTGGTTTCCGCCAATGTTATGTCCCCCGTTTCTTTTTCTGCGTCAGGCAGTATATTACGGTATCATGCAAACTCAAATCCAGTACTGAGCTTCCAAGCAAACCACCGAAGTACAACAGCGCAAGCTCAGCACGGCACATTCCATCTGTGCACAACCTCAACGCTTAACAAGCACTAGCTTGTAAAGCAGGAGTACATGCGAGCAAGAAATCTCTCTGAAGCACAGCAGGCACTAACCCAGCCCAGCACATCTTAGTTAACCTAATAGTGCCTATTCAAGACGGAGCAGTGATATGGCATATCCCGGGCCCTCGGGGGTCCGCTTGCCAGATTGAGCTCAGCAATAATGACTCTTGACAGATTGCTGTAGTGAGCACATTTGCTCTGGTCTCTCCGGGGCTTTTAGCTTGCAGTTTGGGCACTATATAGGTCAGAGGGGATTCTGTTGAGCCCGGTTGCCTAGGACAGCGCTATCTATTGCAACTCATTTTGTTTGCTTTGGGGTTTACTGACAAGCTGCCATAGTGGCAAAATTTATGCTAAATGCTACATTTTTTTTTTTTGTGTCAAAGATTTACTAGTGCTTATGTGTGTTACATGATAATACATATTGTAACAGGTGTTTAATAATACTAAACTGAAGCATTTGTGTGTTTTATATATTGTTTTGTTTTATTGTTATATGTTTTATATATTTTTTAAGAAAATTGATATTGTTTATCTCAACAAAGTTTTTTATTTATTTGCTTTTAAAACACTCGTTACGTGATACAGCCTCAAACTTAATATATTTTTACATATATAAAATACATAGTATATTTTATTTTTACAATCAAACACTTTAAATTAAAATGTACGCATTTTAATCGTTGTTTTCAATGTTTTTTTTTTTCAAATATAATATGAATTCAATATAATTATAGTATACTACAGTTCAAAAGTTTGTAGTAGGTACGATTGTTTTAATGTTTTTGAAAGACCACTCTTATACTCACCAGGGCTGCATTTATGTAAAGTCAGAAATATTGTAAAATATTATCATTTAAAACAACTTATGTATTTTAATATGTTTTAAAATGTATTCTATACCTGTGATGGCAAAGCTGAATTTTCAGTCTTTAGTGTCTCATGAACACAACATAAAATCATTTTAATATCCTGATTTGGTGCTCAAGAAACATTTCTTATTAGAACAGTATTTTTTTATTTTTTTATTGTTTGTTTGTAATGTAAAAGTCATTACTGTCAACTTTGATCAATTTAATGCATCAATAAAAGTATCAATTTCTTTCAAAGAAAAAAAAAATATATTATTGTAAAAAAAAAAAAAATCTTCAATATATACAAATTTTTTAGGGCATTGTGCTCAGATTTTTTGGTCGCATGATAATCCGTGTAAATCACAAACAAAGCAAGGGATTAAGAGATTTAGGCAGCAGTGATCCTATCCCTTTATATACAGTATTAGGTGACATGGTCTGCATGTTGTACTGTCATGAATCACGGCTGTTATCCATAACGCTGTGCTTGTATTGTGTGATTCAGCTGAGCTGGGTGATTACTGTGAGGCTGAGAATTTGCCAGGAAACCTGTCTGAGTTCTGCTTCATCCCCAACCAGCCTCAGGGCTTTGAAAAAGAGGTCACCAAACATCACCAGCAACACAGGTAAGAGTCACCACTCTAAACTCACTTTGGAACAACTCTGGCCATTGTCGCTGCACTATTCTAATAAGAAAATCCTATTACTGTCAGAAATTTGACACAATGAAGGAGTCTTGTTGATTTCACATATGTGACCCTGCCTGTGAAAACCCGGCTAAAGTAATTTTTTTGTGATTTACTGTTTTCTACATAAAATCGTCCTTCATAAAGATGTAAAGAACATTCTGTGAAAATAACATTATATCTTTAATATTGACTGAGTAAGCCCATGTCAAAGATTGAAATCATAGTGAGATTAATTGTTGAAATCAAACTTGGATGCTTGTTATCTCATAATTAGATTTTGAGACTTTAGCTTGGATTTCACAGATAGGGTCACATATGGCTTTATGAATATTCATGACGACTCACATGTGTTAGTTAACATACTCACGTGTGCTTTCACAGCGTTCATGGCTCAGTACGCCCACTCTAGAGCTGTGCTGAGAACAGGAAGCTCATTGTCCTACGCATCTTAGCCTTACTGACAAATCGGTGGA